CGATAAGTAAACGTTCTTCTGGAAACGAGTATACTGCGTGTGCATACGAATGAACGAGTACATATCGCCGTTTTTCCTCGGCGACGCAGTCGGTCTCAGCGAGTTCATCGTTCAGAAACACCACGCGAGGGAGTGGAACCCGCCCATTCCAAATAATCCATTCATCATCGTGGGATTTTCGAGCTCAACTCTCACACGGGTTTTTTATGGGCTAAATGCGGATTGTAGGGAATAATAAGCTAGTCTCTCTCTCAATAGACGGCCTCTCTAATGCATGTTTGTTTTCGAGCGGTTGTTATACACTGCTGTTTTGAACTCTAGAAATGCTCGATGATCAATCGACGCAGATGACGGATGGCGGCGAGGCCAAACCAATTCCCCAGATACCAGAAGTGTTCAGTGTCGCACGTTGTTCATACCAAAATATGTAGCCCTACGCCTGAATCTTCAGTATAATATCAGGTGGGGGGAATGTCTAACCTTCTGTGGTTCACCTCCTGTCCTAAACGCATTTCTGAGATTCTTTACTCATTGTTCCTGCCCAGAATACATCAAATTCCCGCTTTTAGTTTCAGTGCTCGGATCAGCTGACTGCTTCTCAAGCTGCCAGTGCTCCGCCCTCTTTTTAGTTTCATGTGGGAGTGACTTGTCAACAATTCAAATTCATGATGCCATATGGGACTTCCACCCATGAGTGGCTATTCCCGCAGCCCACACGGGCGAGGATCGATTTGGTCGTTGCATTGCAGACGTTTTTACGATCATTTCACGGAAGCGGATGCAGGAGCTTGTGGCTAGCTGCCAGCCAAGACTCCTTTCCATTTAGACCGATAGAAACGGCTACTTCCTGCAAGGTAAGATGATGCCATGAAGGGTTGCCAAGACTCAATGGGACATTGGAAGTTCCGAGGGTAGTCTTTTGTAAAGACTCTCGTTGCTTTTCTCTCTTTACTCTTTTCCTTCTGCTCATCGAAGCACCGGATTCCGGGCATTGGAATAATGGTCGCTTAGCATCCTGCTTGGTAAGTCCTACTGAGAACATGCTCTTCTTCAGTTCATAGTCTCGTTGCGATGCTGTCAGTTCTTCATCATTGAAAATGCTAAATGCTCGCGCCATTTATGTGACTAGATGTTCATGGCACTGAGTCCACTTCGATCGCTTATTTGACTTTATCTAGGCAGTACACATACACTGTATTCCTTATTCTGAGATCGCACCGGAAATCACTCTTGCCTTTCCTACTTGTAGGCTTCTTTTCACGATCACAAATACAGCCAACACTTCTCCTTCAAATAACCTCAGAACTTACAAGAACTTTACCTATTCTACAATTGAATCTTTACTTTTCTTGAAACAAAAGGATATTTTCTGAAATGAAGTGCTCATGTGATCTTCCTGATATGGCTTTTCTCCCGTGAAGTGAAGCCTCAAGCATCATTTGATCCGAGAGGATTAGATTGTTTCAGCCTTTCCAACAAAAGGTTTGTACGCGGACGTAACTTTGGTTGGACTCTGACGGTCCAGCGACTTACAGTAGCGCTCAAAAGTCTTCGGCCAAATGCTTCTTCAGTTGTACATTTCAGTCGTGATTCCTCTACT